AGCGAGTGCTGCAGAGTTTGTGGGACTGGTGGGCGTAGACCTGGCCACGGTGTATTGGATCCCCGCGCGCTTGCAATCGATCGAAATGGGGCTCCGACCAGGGGCGATTTAACCGCGCTGAGTGGGGATCGATCGAAATGAGACTAGTCCGCCCCGCCCGACGTCTGCGCCATCACGCCCACGCCCACGCCCACGCCCTCGCCCTCGCCTCGCCTACGCCTCCCGCGCGCGCCTTTGTCGGCGCACAGCGCTAGCGAATATATGCTACACACAGCATCCTGTCTCGCCCACCACCCGTGACCGCCTCTGCCTGTGCACACCGCCATGTCCGTCTCTGCTACTGTCCAAGTCGCCCAGCTGGCCTACTCGGTCACAGCCAGCCGCACGACGTCCACGCAGCACCAGCCTCCATTTCGTGGACAATTTCCTATCGCCTCATATGTCTTATCGCTGATGCCGAGCATATCTCTCCCAGGTACCGGCCGTGCAACCGCTTCTGGCATTTGCCCTCCGAGCGCCCCGGCCCCTCCGCCCGCCCTCTTAAATAAGTCGGGTGTCCTTCCCCACCGACCACGCCCTCCCCGCCTTCTCCACACATGGCCGACAGATTCCAGTCCAAGGAGAAGTCCAGCGACGATGGCGCCGTCGTCAAGGAGCTCGACTCCGAGTCCCTCACCTCTTCCGACGGCGCAGAAACACGCCTCAAGCGTCAGCTCAAGAACAGGCACATTGCCATGATATCGTACGTCCTCTTCTCTCTTCCCATTGCCCACTCTTCTCATCTCCCTTCTCTAGCATCGGCGGTAACGTCTCCCCCATGTATGCCCAATTCTCCTTTGCTGATCAGCCTCGCACCTAGGTGTCATCGGTACCGGCCTCTTCTTGAACACTGCCAACTCTCTTGCCGATGGTGGTCCTGTCGGTCTCCTTCTGGGTTACGTCGTCGTTGGCACCATCTGCTATAGTGTCATGGTCCGTCGTCTCCCCCCCTTTTTTTTTTTCGTTCCCGCTCCTACCCTCACATTCCGTTCAGATTTCCCTCGGTGAAATGGTCGCATATCTCCCCGTCCCCGGTGGTCATATCAAACTTGCTGAAAGATTCGTCGACCCCGCCTTCTCATTCACAATGGTCTGTGCTTCTGATCGTTTCCTTCAGTCCCTGTCTCACTTTGTCCACCTAGGGTTGGAATTACTGTTAGCTTCCGTCTCCTTCCGCCTCCATGTCTTTTCTGATTTACGTGACCCAGGGTACAACTGGACGATCGTTCTTCCCGCAGAACTCAGTGCTGCTGCAGTACTCATCAATTACTGGAATCAAACCATCAACAACGCCGTGTGGATCACCATCTTCCTCGTCGTAGTCATCACGATCAACTTTTTCGGTGCAGGTACGTGTCTCTGTCGTGTGTTCCCCGTTGCGTCTTGCCGACCACACACTATAAACACATAGGTGCATATGGAGAAGCCGAATTCATCTTCTCGTACGTGTACGCCCGCTTCGCATCGGCTATATGCTGACCACGAGCAGCTCCGTCAAGGTTATTACCATCACAGGTCTCATCATCCTCGGCATCGTCCTCGATCTAGGCGGCGGTCCCAATCACGATCGTATCGGTTTCCGCTACTGGAAGCACCCCGGCCCCTTCGTCCAGTACAACGACATTGGGGGGGTCACGGGCCGCTTCCTCGGATGGTGGAGCGTCATGACCAACGCTGCGTTCTCCTACATTGGCACGGAGATCGTCGCCGTACGTACAGCAGCAGCACAGTTCCGTCGATCTGCGATCTCTGATTTTCCGGTGCCTGACAGATCGCGGCCGGTGAAGCAAAGAACCCACGGCGCAATCTGCCCAAGGCAATTCGTCGCGTTTACATTCGTATCCTGCTTTTCTACATCGGCGGTGTCACCGTCATTGGCCTACTCGTCCCTTCCAATAACCCGTTCCTCAATCTTGAGAAATCCACTGCAGCAAAGTCACCCTTTGTGATCGCCATCAACACGGCTGGTATCAAAGGTTTGCCCTCAGTGCGTGTTTTCCCCGAATGTCGTGATCCAATGCTGAGATATGGTCCAGGTCATCAATGCTGCCCTCTTGACGGCGGCTGCCTCGGCTGCATCCAGTGACTTGTACACGAGTTCGCGTGCTCTTTGTCAGTTTATACATCCTTTGACGTTGAGACATGCGCTGACGGCAGTTTTGCTAGACGGGCTTGCGCTCGTCGGAAACGCGCCCAAGATCTTCACCCGCACCTCGCGTAATGGGGTGCCCTTTGTTTCCTTGATTTTCTGCGCGGCTTTCTCTACTTTGGCGTACATGGGAGTCACGAGTGGATCAGGGAAAGTGTTTAACTGGTTCGCCAACAGTGAGTGCTTTCCCTGCTGGTGGTTTCGTTCGACCTACGACTGAGGCTCTTTCCATAGTGACTTGTACGTGGATGCGGTTTCTACTTATGACTGGCTGTTGAATGTCTTGCAGCCGTTGCCGGGTTGATGACGTGGTTTGGCATCTGCGTCACGTACCTTCGCTTCTATGACGGTCTCAAGGCCCAAGGGTACGACCGCACCAAGTTGCCGTACTGGACGCGACTGCAGCCCTTCGCGGCGTGGTACGGTGCATGCTTCTGCTTCATCGTCTGCCTTGTGCGTGCCCTCCTTTTCGCCGCTGCCACCGGCGCTGACCCTCTCGGCGAGTGTAGCTCAGCGGATGGGCGGTGTTCCTGAAGGGCAATTGGGTCACCGCGACCTTTGTCACGAACTACCTGCCATTCGTGCTCTTTCCCATCCTGTATATTGGTGCAAAGATATGGATCAGGGTTCCCTTGGTCGCTCCACAAGACATGGACTTTGTGAGCGGGCTGAAGGAGATTGAGGCTGCAACGTGCGTCGCATCTGCTAATCTCACGCTGCTGCGTTCTCTGACGGATGCTGTCTCTGATAGGTACGACGAACCGCCTCCGCGGAACTGGCTAGAGGCGTTTTGGGGATGGTTGGTAAGTGGGATATATCATGTCACTGCGCCGGATCATTGCGCTGACGGAGGTGGTGTACCTCGTAAACAGATGTAGCCTGATTGTCGACTGTCGACGTGTGTAGCGGAGTGTACTTAATCACGTTTCTTTGCATAGTATGTAATCACATTAGCAGCTAATGTAGTGGGGTCCTGAGATGCACCGAACACTGCTTGTCTTCTTTTCATATGCTGCGCGCCCCGACGACCCTGGTGCGGCCTCCCGGAAGCGAGTACGCGCGCGGTGCGGCGGAGAGTAGTGATGGGACACGGCGTGTATTCCGGGGTGGCCATCTTAGAGGCGTCCGACCGCGGTGTCAGCGGGGTGTCAGACACGACGACAGGCCCCGCAAAAACTTGAAGTAAGGGTGATGGATCAACGTCTCACGCCCGCAAATTGCTGGCGCTGGCAATTTTCGCCATGGGTGGCCGGGTCGCGTGTGTCTGGCGGTGCACTTGCCATGAGGACAGTCGTGATATATAGAAAGGCCAGGTACTGGAGAGCGGGCACGCTGGCTGCTGAAAGTGGACGAGATGCAACATCGCTGTTAGACTTTAAGCAGGATTGCCGATAGGCTCGCACGGGAGCCGCTGGCGGTGGTTGTTCGCAGAAGATGTCGAGTGTGCAGCGTGGATGGAAAACGAAACGTGAAGGCGGTCTGGCGGGGGATGTCAGTCATTACTTAGTCGCAGAACACACGTGAGGTGATACGCGTCGTCTGCGCCCTCCGGAGAGACTCGCAGAGCGTGCTGTCTCTTGCCCTCCTCCACCCCTGCGCTCGACGCTGCCTGCGTCGCCCAGGCTGCATCGCATCCACCTCAGCTGCCACCCATCAAGACCACGCTAGCTCGGCCCCGCAGCCGCCGCGTTTCATGGCACCACGCATCCAATTTGAATCCGGCCTCCACACGGACGACGCAACCGCGGACAGGAGCGACAGTCCTACGCTGGGCTTTTGGGGCGGGACGCAGGCTGCCGCAGAGTCTGATAACGGTAAGTGCGACCTGCACCCGCTCAGGGCGGCGGCGACGACGGCGAGCGCGACTGCCGCATGATGCTCGCGTTGTGCCGGTTTATTTGTTGCCGTTGATGGTCCTGCGCCAAGCGGGCCTCCTCGAACAGTCTGGCTCTCAGTGAGCTACTCGTCCTTGTCCTACTCACCCTTCCTCGTCGTTCCTTCCTCCCCGTCTTCTACCGCCTGTCGTTTATGCCGGCACTGACTCGCCCCTCTTTCGCCGCTAGATCGGGACTCGTTCGACGCCCATCCCATGCTCTCCCCCTACGCCTCCTCCAAGCCTAACATGCGAGACCAGTCCCGCGTCGCCGTCCTCTCCAGCCTTGTCTCCTCTCACGACGACTGGTCGTCGGAAATCGACCCCCCCTCTCCCGGTGTGATCCCTTCCAGTGCTTATATCGTAGACTCTCCCTCGTCCGCCATGCCCTCCTCGTCTGCCCCCCTTCCCCGCTTGCAAAATCATCCAGAGCGCTCCGCACCCGACAACGATTCTTTTCTTTCCGAAACGGGCCTCTCCCAATCCTCCGCTCGTTCTCCCTCTCTGCCTGCCGCGCTTCCAGATCCATCGCAGTTTCCAGATCCCTATCCCTATCGCCCCCCCAGGTGGCAGCACGGCGCAGCTACCCCTGCCCTATCGTCTGCTGATTCGTCCTCGGCATCCACCAGATCCTCCGCATACACGAGTTCTGCGCGCTCGGGCGATTATGGTCATGTGCACGTTGTCTCCGGCGATCCAGAACAGCTCCTCGGTAGCGGCCTGACCACAGACGATGTCGTGCAGCTGCTGGCCCGCGACTCATCCTCATCCTCTGCAATGCAGGGCAGGAGCCCCTATGAGCAGGGCCGCTGGTCGGATCTGTACGCCAACAGCATCAGATCCCGCTCGTCTTCGGTTGGAAACAGCAGGCCCGATCCCGCCGCACAAGAGACGAGCTTTCGCACCTTGCGAACCACCCCTAGCTTTGACATGGCTTGGCAACCCGTAGATGAGCGCGATGAAGCCGAACTAGCGAGCGAGGACGAGATTACAGATGACGACGATTGCCTGGACGATGAAGAACCGATTGACGATGAAGAGCAGCCCACTAGCGCAATGGTCATCGCTGAGGAAGGCCGTGGTGTCATTGTGCGGGGAGACGACGCCCCTATAGTTAGACTTCAGGTCAAGCCTGGTGCGTGGTGTCCACATGTACGGCGAATTGTTCATTTAAGTCTTACTATCCTCACAGGTACGACCCATCTACTTATTGGCTCTTCTACCACCCCGAACGCCGTGCCTGCGTTTCTGACCGGCGCGCTGCCCCAAATCGCCAGTTCCCTCCTCGCTCTCGATATTTCGGCTAATTTTCTCGGTGCTCTCCCTCCTGTACTCGCCGCCTGTCTGAATCTGGAGGAGCTGAACATAGCCTCTAATCCCTTGCGCGCTTTACCCGAATTTCTTTCTAGACTGACCTCCCTGCGTGTTCTCATCGTGGATTCTACCGGAATCAACACTTTGTCCGAGTCGTTGAGCTCGGCGGATAAGCTGCATACGCTCAGTATTCGGCGCAACAAGTTCAATTTCTTGCCCAGCTGGCTTTGTCTACTACCCTCCCTCGAGACTCTGCTAGTAGATGGCAATCCATTTCAGGGTCCTTGGAAGGCTCTGATGGAGCCGCTGCTGTCGAAGACACCAATGTCGCCCCTCTATCCGCCTTCCACACCTATGTTTCCCTTGCCATCCGCCAGTGCTATTAGCGCTACTACAGCAGACACGGATGGCGAAGACGTGGCTGATTCATCGTGGCAGGACCGCAACAGCCCACA